GAATTTAACGTTAACCATTTAACAGGTTTTTACTGTAGCATTTTTTTGTAGCACTTTTACCGTTAAATTCACTGTCATTTTTTACAGTGTACTCAAAACAGATCTGTCTCTGTGGTGTTTTGCTATGTAATGGCTGCTGCAGCCTTATTTCACTTCTGATGTTTAAGTTCAACAAGGGCTGGAGCTAAAGGTCCTTCACACACAGTCTGGCCTGAGCTCAACTAGACGAAAATCAGCTCAGATAGTCACCTTTTTTTAAAGGGTCTCACTTCACTGCAGTGTACAGAGTCTCACTTTAATGTCAAAGCCAAGAAAAAAGTTTGTGATCATTTCAAAACTACAAGCTTAAAGATTAAACCTAGTTAAGATATTTATTTTTTCCTTTAACAAGAACTTTAATGTGTGACTGAGAAACTCTGTTTGTTCTCCAGTGTTTGCTGATCACAATGTAGTGAAGTCGGTGTCAGTGACGGAGGAAGATTCAGTCATTTTACAGACTGATCTTACTGAAATACAGACCACTGATTTGATAACATGGACATTTGGACATTCAACGACTAAAATAGCTGAGATCAATAGAGAGGATGGAATCTTCAAAACATATGACGATGTTCTTGATGGGAGATTCAGAGACAGACTGCAGCTGGATCATCAAACTGGATCTCTGACCATCACAAACATCAGAACCACAGATTCTGGAGAATATAAAGTAAACATCAAAGCCACAAAACCGACCACATACACATTCAATGTTACTGTCTATGGTAAGTCAACAATTACAGGTGTGCTTGTTCTGTCTATATTATTTATTAGAAAAACTAACATTGGGCTTTTTACCAGTGGCATAACTTTGATTTGGCATTCATTTCTAAAACATTTGATGGTCCTCTGTCCCTCCCACAGCTTACAGGAATGAATATAAATACATAAGAATATAACGTTGTAATTTTGGGTTTACATTTACAATTCCAAACTGGTGGTCTCTATGAAAAGTTCAATGTGTTTGTTGTCTGCCCTTATATACTACTATCCCTCGGGGAATTTCACAAAATACCTAATCCTATTTACTTTTAATAAAAAGTTGAATTCTGTTTAGGCTAAATTTGGGTTAATTACATTCGCATAGCATTTTACACAATACCCATTGTTTCAAAGCAGCTTTACAGAAAGTCATATGAACGCGTACAATGTAATAAATGTTTGCAGTGTCTCAGACTCACACTTGAGTGGTCGAATATACTTCAGAGATGTAAATATTAATAATTTTGTTTAATGTTTAAATCTATTTCTTATGGCAACCAACCCATAGAACTGTGGGAGTGAGTTTTGCACAGACACTCAAAATTCCTTTAAAAAATATATAAAAGTTCAGTTTAACATATTTTAAAATAAGCAAGTATTTCTGTAAGTTGTGCAGTTTTAGAATTAATTTATTATACAATGTATTATATGAAGTTCATAACTTTAAAATTTAAAGAAGTGTTACAATTTATAGCAACACATGAGCTATAAATACAAAATAGTTGAGCATCATAAAGGAAGAACTGACCCTAGAGACAGATTACTGAACAATATATCAAGAAGCATTACAAGAAGTCAGCAATGTCTTGTCAATTACTCCCTAAATTATTCTCTCATGTGTTCAGCTCGTCTGCCTGTTCCTGTCATCAGCAGTAACTCTACACACTGTTCTTCATCATCATCATCACAGCAGAATTGTTCATTGGTGTGTTCAGTGGTGAATGTGAGGCATGTGACTCTCTCCTGGTACAAAGGAAACAGTTTATTGTCCAGCATCAGTGTGTCTGATCTCAGCATCAGTCTCTCTCTACCTCTGGAGGTGGAATATCAGGATAACAACACCTACAGCTGTGTGCTCAACAATCCCATCAGCAACCAGACTGAACATCTGGACATCAGTCAACTCTGTCGGCCATGTTCAGGTATATGAATGCTAAACTATCTTGTGACTCTAAAAGCTTCATCTGAAGTAGCATATACATTACAAACTCAGCTGTGTGCTGCTCTTTATAGTGTTTATCATAGATCAGACATATTTACTCTTTCTCTTTAGCCGTTGCAACACCAGGTCCACAGTCTACTTCAAACTCTACTTCACATCCTCCAGACTCAGTCTCTCTGATAGTGTTGATTTCTGCGGCTGCTGCTGGATCTCTGTTGATTGTAGCAGCAGTCGGGATCTACTGGATCTACAAGAAACACAGAAAAACAGACCAAGCAGGTAAGAGTTTCCTATTGCTGACACATCTGTAAAAGTATTAAAATAATAATAAAACAATAAAAAATAATCAAGTATCTTTTCTTTTTTAAAGAAACACATATAAGATTTCTTTTTTTGTTTTTATTTTTGTGTTGATTTAATGATTATTGTAGGAACAGATCAGACTCGTAATGATGAGATCACTTACACTGATCCGACTTTCTACAAACAAAAAGCACAGAAACCGGTAAGAGAATTTATAACTGTGTCATTAATGCATATTTATTAAATTAGATGTTTATGTCCCATAACCATCCATCCCTTTTTCCTTCTGTTATAATAGAAACAATGACAATAATTCAAAATAATAATAACAATAATAATTATTATTATACATATTATTATTATTATTATTATTATAAAAAACCTATTATTATTTTTTTGTAGTAGTACTACTATTTGTTTAAATTACATATACATTAATTATTATTATTATTATTATTATTATTATTATGTAAATACGTAATTAAATATGAATTAAGTATTTACTTAATAATACATTTGAAACTAATGCACATAATACACAATAATCTAAATTTATTGCGACACGTCCTACAAGAAACCCAATGTGATTCTGGGGAACTTACTTACTTACTTCTGGCGAAATTACTTCATACATCCACTGAAAATGTCTCAACAGTATAAATGTCAATCAGGAAAAGATGAAGTTAGTTCTAAAAAAAAAGATCCTGAAGCAAAGATAGTTAACATGAAAACAGCAA